TATTGTTTTCATACTTAAGTCAATTGCAAGAGAATCTAACCTAATAAATTGCCTTTTCAGTAAGATATTCATCAGGTATGGCACATAAGATTCTTACCCTATTTTTTTTTTTTGGTCAGTCGTGGGGCTTGAACTCTGGGCTTGGGTGCTGTCCCTGCACTCTTCAGCTCAAGGCAAGCACTCTACCACTTGAGCCACAGGGCCACTTCCGGTTTTCTAGTGGTTTAGTGGAGATAGCCTCACAGACTTTCTTGCCCTGGCTGTCTTTGAACTGTGATCCTCAGATCTCAGCCTCCTGAGTAGCTAGGATTACAGGCGTGAGCCACCAGCACCCGGCTTTAATCCTATATTTCCTATTACACCTCTTATGCTCCTTCTCTTCACTCTTTGGTGCTTTGCTAGCACTTTTTAATCATCTATATATTTTACATGATTTTTCTTGCTTATTTTCTGTGTGAACTTCCTAATTACCTCCACACAAACTTTAAAGTTTAAGCTCTATTGGGAAATATATCAAAAACTCTATATTCCATCCCTGGAATATGCCTGAAGGTTTGTGTTGAATAAATTCTTACAGTTCTAGAGTCACTATTTAATACTTGCAGGTATTTAGGAGAAAGAATCTTGTATATCCAAGATGGAATGAAGTGCACTCAAGTATCATGTGGACCATCAGCTATTCAGTAATTGTTTCCATCAACAAGATTTCCTTCTAAGTGCAATTAGTTTACAGACTTCAAACTAGAGAAAGACAGGAGGTCATGGTCCCTGGGAAATATACTATCTAGTTAATAAGGAAGGACAAGCCAAAGGCAACAGATGTCCCTTAGACATCTGAGAAGGAAGGAATACTCAACAGGTGGTACACGATTTTAAACATGAAAAAGAACATATGTATGGATTTAGAAGGAAGGAAGGAAGAAAGGAAGGAAGGGAGGAAGGAAGGAAGGAAGGAAGGAAGGAAGGAAGGAAGGAAGGAAGGAAGGAAGGAAGGAAAGAGAAAGAGGGAAGGAAAAGAGGGAAAGAAGAGAGAGACAGACTGAGAGAGATAGAGAGAGAAGGGAAAATGTCCTCTGTGAAAACTGAAGATTTTCTTAATGAAGGGGAAATTAGCATGCAGGAAAAGGAAAATTAAGGTGGAATGTGGACATAGAAAAGAGAAAAAAGCCCAATTTAAAGCCCAATTTCCTAAGGAAAAAGATGAAAGGAGTTAGTGATGCAAACACATTAAAAAGATACGTGTTAAAAAGCTTATATTTGCATCTGTGATAGAAAGACCAACCTTGAAAAGCAATGGTAACTATTCCTTCAATAATCCTTATGCACCAATAGGTAGAAATCAACTCCAAAAACATGTGTCTCTATTACCTACTTAAGACATTAGTGCTAATTAGTGTTGACCATTAAACTATATTGCTACTTAAATGTACTAACTTGACACAGCAAGTTTTGCCTTACTCTCTTAAGATCAAAAGATTGCTACATGAAAGCCCACAAAGGTATAAACTCTCCAGAGGTAGCACTGCACTCTGAGCTCCCAGAAGTGCACATTTGAGTACCATTAGCAAAGGAGGGATGCTTTGCCTCAAGTTTCATGGGAATCTACAAATACAAAGGTCATTGCTAAGGCAGCCAGGATAAAACCACCCAGGGAATCAATGCCTGAAATCAACATCTCTTATAAGATACAGGAACAAAATTAAGAATAATACAGATGACAGCCTGCCTTGATTCTTTCCAGCAGGCGCTGAACCACTGATGTCACCCACATGTATTCTCCCTAAGGGAGAGCCAGATTGATGTCAGTAGAGGCCCAGGTAATTAATATTGACAAAAGAGACATAGGTTAAAATCTAGCTAGTACTAAAAGCAGATCATCATGGATTATATGCCAAACCAAAAACTTTTAAATAGAAATTACTTTATGTTTTTTTTTAATTAAGTTTTTTAGATGAGCAAGGTAATGAGTACATTTCTTATCCAGCATTGCTGCCTCCTTCTTTGTTTTCCCCTACCATCCCTTCCCTTCCCTCCCACCTCCCCAGCTACACCCCCCACCCCCGCTTAAATTGTAAAGTTTGTTTTTCGCCATCGCACCTTGTACGTCTCATGGTTGCAATGGGTCCACCTGTATCCCTATTTAAACAATTTGTTTTTTCCCTTCCCCTTCCCAAATTATACCAACACCAAATACGGTGAAAACAGGAGTTATACCATGGGGGAGGGACATACAAAGCAACAAAATAATCACATGGTAATCTAAATTCAAAGATTCCTAGAGACTCTATCCTAATATAACAACAGGCAAATTATACATACCCCCCCCCCCCCCCCCCGAGGCTTGTAGTACTTAAGTGACTTTAGTGCTTAAAGGAGATAGTCTGTAATCAACCACAAGTCCGCTATCTTTCTCTCAGGCCAGTGTCAAAACCATTTAGACTGATGCTGAAATGTAAACCAAAATCACTTTTGATGATTTTGCTAAAATACCAGAGAACTCCAACACTTTTGTTTATTGTGTGCATAGGCTTGTATATACATTTCCATCAAGCTCTTTTCCTGACGAGTGTTCTCAACATGTAGGTGTTTGGGGTAGCTTTATGTTTCTTGTTCTCAAGGTCAAACTCAATTTCAGTTGTGCCATCTAATTTACTATCCTTTCTCTTTTAGCATCCTCTATCAATTTTCCCTCTCTGGGTAGCACAGTTTAAAAATTGAATGGGAGAATGAAGCTATTATTTTTAAGGCTGAGGGGAAAGAAGTGTGAACATTGGAGTTATAGTTGAAAACATACATACTGAGCCTCTTTGAGAGTATATTTTTTTGTCCTTCTAAAATTTTTAGTATACAGAAATAAGCCAGCCTTGACAATGAATCCTGGAGACAAAGTTAAACTATATTGTCACTGAACACAAGAATGGAAGGAGCTTCATTCAGTTCTCTATCACTGTAAGTATTCCCTGTGGTAAATATGTACCAAATACTGTGGAAGATTATTTACTCTAGTGGACTTTCATCTTGATTTTTCACCTTTTTTTCAGCAAAGAACCTACACTGCTAAGTGAAGTAACATGAACTAATAGCTTTATTAACAACCTGGATTCATTAGCGGTGCCTCACCTCAGGGCCCCAGAGGAGAGGCCTGAAAAGCATGTATCTCAGCTTTCTGCAGCCTCCCTCCCATACAACAGACACACCTGGAATTCCCTATCAGGAACAGTTTAATTGCTTGTGGAAAAATAATCTAACACTCTCACAAAGCTGGTGATCAATTTTTGGTTACATAGTAAAGTGGAGGCTCCTCATCTTCATACAGTGCAAAGTTGTATAATTCAATGCCTGAAAAAGGTTGGTTAATTTTAGTAATCCAGCTAGGAAGCCTTAGAAAACATATATTCTCTCAAAACCACACTACATCCTTACCGCAACAGCACGGGCAATGTTTATGCTTGATTGTAAATTATATAATGTGTCCTATCATCACACTACTGCTATAGGACAAACAGCGATCCTAAATGTTCAGGGTAATATATATTGGGAAGTAATGAGCAAAAGTGACTCAATGTGCCAAGTCTTGCTTTCCTTGCTTTCAAACTGAGCTCTGCTCTCATTAATGAGCATAAATCATGTGTTCAGTGCAAACCTCAATCCTTTGGGACAAGCTCTTTGCATTGTAAAAGCAATACTGCATGATTTGTATAAAACTTTGCATATGTACCTTTCTGAATCTTCATACCATCGTAATATAGCTTGGAGGGGTGAAGTCCAGTATGATTTGACTATGTTTATGCATCTTCAGCACAACCTATTTAATATATAAAAGTAAACAAAGCAGAAATGTGTGTTTTAACAGCCTATTTCCTTGCTGTATGAATATTCAAAACTGCACCTGTTCCAACTTTGTTCAAATTTCCACAAACAATAGCACTGACAGGCTGATGTGCTAACTATATTCTGGCATTTTCTGGTTAAACATGCTCACAAATCTCAAAATGTACATTGAAAGAGGAATTTGCTTCCACAGGCAAACAACTCTGTTTGTACCAAAAATATTGATTGACTACCTAAGTGTTTTTATATATAAATTAAAAAATGGTGCAACATCATATCTACCCAAAACCTGCAGATTTTCAAAAATTACATGGCATCACTAGAGTAGTTGAATAGTATGGAACATATTTAAATATATTTACTGTTTTCACTGTTCAGGACAAACCAAAATTATTACAAAATGTTTCAAAGAACATTGAGTTTTATTCCCTTGTCACCAAATCAGTACAAATATCTCCAGCACAGCAGCTGTCACTTAATGGCCATAAAGAGTTAAAGTGCTGCCTAAATTGAACACAGGTCACTGTCTCCACCAAGCAGATCCTCAATTAGTGTTGATGGATTGACTTTCTCACAGGCTGTAAAAGCTCAATTTATAGAAATGGATCTTGGAGACTAAAATCAATAATTTCAGAAAACTGTGCCCTGAATTCCTGGTTTTAGCTCTAAGATATGTATAAATGAAAGACCCATCCATATTTCCTCCCGATGTTTAAAAATTATTTTAGTTTAGTAACGTATTAAGAGATTCCCAAAATGTGTATATAATCTATATACAGATATGACTTCAAATGTGGATAGTAGAAATACTTTTGTGACATAGGAATGATTATGAAGAATCTAAAGAGGCACATAAATGAAGATAAGATTCTAGTCCCAATAATAAAGGTCATCTACCATTGTAAAATATTCCACTGGAATTGATCACTGTAGATCAATCATCTTTAGTATACATTTGGACAGCACTCTCCATGTTTTAATGGTATTTTTTAAGGCAGATAAGCATGGTTTTGAAGCTGTGCCAGAAGTGACCATTTAATTTGAAAGCATAATGAACTTCCTCTTCTGCCTCCACCAGGGATTCATGGCTTTACCCCTTGATCAGGTGTCAGATCAAAATGCATTGGCCTTAGTCAAAGCAGACTCTTAGTGTGGGGGAATGGACTGTTGGCTACCTTAGCAAGCTTTCCTCTTAAATCCCATCTCCAAACCAAGGCTGTGTTCTGTGTTTGAAGAAGTTTGAGCAAATAAGCTGATCATTGTCTAGCACTGCAAAATGGGAAGCAGAATTAGTTCAGAGGGCAAGGAATCAGCCAAAAGGTCAAGAGAACTGGAGAAAAAGCTTCAGGAAGATGCTGAGAGAGATGCAAGAACTGTAAAGTTGCTGCTATTAGGTAACATTTCGCTTTCAAAACCCGATTTTCTTCATTTCTGACGTACTTTTCTTAAACATTAATTTCCAGCATATTACTACATGTAGGGATTTATTACAAAATATGTCTCGAAATAAGTAGGATTTATTGCACTCTTTTTAGTATTATATTACATGCTTTCTCAAGAGATAAATATTTATTAGTGGTTTCAACTTATCTGTGTCAATAATGTGATTTACCATTATGATAAGAAAACTCATATATATTATAATTATTTATACATAAATATATATTTATTAAAATAATCTTTTTCAAGTTAAAATATCTTTATTGGTTTGTATGGGGAAAACTATGTTGAGTGACTTGGTTGCAAAGTTGATTTGCTATTTATACATGATATGTAAATCAACACTCTCAAATTGTTTCAAGAATAATGCTAATGTACTTTAAATTATATTACTATTATTTTATAAACATTGAATACTGCTGAGGATACTTCTCTCACTAAAAAGTACTCCATGTAACTCATTTTTTATAATACATATATTTATCCAATTCACAACTTTCAGTGTATCTTCTATTTTTAAATATTTTACTACAACTAAAATTTAATAAAGTTGGATTAACACAAATTAAAGTCAAAAATTGAAAATACTAATACTATAATTTAGTGATAGACAAATAAAATTAAACCTGATGAAAGTAATGACTCTTGAGATGGGTCTATTAGATCAATTGGAGATTCAATTGTGAAGGAAAAAAGCTCACTAAAAATATTTACAAATGACTGAAAATATATAATTGAAAATCAAATTTGATAGATATAATACAAAGATGTATGAAATAGAGACTATTAAAAATAGAGTCTGAAAATCAGTAGATTACATACATATACACACACACACACACAAATGTACATGCACACACAAACATAATGTTTATATTAGAAAGAATTATTATTGGTACTATTGATTAAGTTTCTTAAGATAATTACATTTGTACATAATGCCCCAGTAACCATGTAGTATGTTATATTTGTTTGATTCCAATGCTATTGGAGGTGTTTAGTCAATTTCTATTTATACAAAATGAATAAAATTATCTTCATCTGTCATATCTCCATTATTTCAGGGATTTGACTTAAGAATCACTTCTGGATCCTAGATTCTTCTTGAGTTTAAAGTTTTTGAGCCATTTACAAACTTTATGAAAGATAATCTTGCAACATCTCTGCCTTCTTTCTTATTTTTGATTTATACTCAAATTAGTTATACCACAACTTTTAAATTTATTTTGGCCTCATAAAGATGACATAAAATGTTCTAAAGTAATTTCCTACTATCTCACTATAAAATATCTTCAGATAATAGATCTATTTGGTTTGTCTCAAAACTGAAATGGTGTCCTCAGTTGCTAATGTGGTCTAGTAACAGTGTATATGTGACATGATACTAATTAGCTTAAACTTAGTAATGATTGATCTTGAACCTAGCCCCCTATTTACAAAAAGCAGGAACACACTTGAAAGAATTCATTCTTTGGCTTGATCCTCATTGTTTGGTGATATTCTAGATGTTAAAGCTACCAGCACAACTATGTTTATTGCAGCATTATTTACCATAGCTAAGATGTGGAACCAACTCAGATGCCCCTCAGTAGATGAATGGATCAAGAAAATGTAGTATATATACACAATGGAATTCTATGCCTCCATCAGAAAGAATGGCATTGCCCCATTTGTTAGGAAATGGAAAGGCTTGGAAAAAATTATATTAAGTGAAGTAAGCCAAGCCCAAAGAAACATAGATCCCATGGTTTCCCTTATTTGCAATATCTAGTATATGTCTGAGTCAAGCAGAAAAGGTCAGATAAGGTGATGTTAGGAAAATGAACCCTAAGATATTTAAATGTTTTTTTTTTCATTCATGCATTTGTTTCTAACGCATTTATAAGATTATTTCTTTGTTGCTTTGTATGTCCCTACCCCACAGTATAACCCCTGCTTTCACTGTATTTGATGTCTGTACAATTTATGGAGGGGAAGGGGGAAAACAAGTCGTTTAAATAAGGATACAGGTGGACCCATTGCAATAATGAGAAGTACAAGTTGTCATGTCAAAAACAAACATTACAACTTTGGGGGGGGATTAAGTAGGGGGGCGGGGAGAGGCTGGGAGGGGATAGGAAAGGTAAACAAAGGAGGAGGCTACAATGCTTGATAAGAAATGTACTCATTATCTTGCCCATGTAATTGTAACCCCTCTGTACAGTATTTTCACAATAAAAAAATAAAATAAAATAAAAGTAAAAAAAAAAAAAACACATAAGAATAACTTCCCAAATTTACCATGTACTATAAAGTAGGTAGAGCATTTTCATAGTATTGGAAAAAATATTTACTAGATCTGAAGAACTAGCAAATTTCTGCTGTATGATTAAAGTATGACAGTAAAATTATGATACATATATCAAATTTCTGCTTTTAACAGATGAACAGGCTCTAGGAAATATTGATGATTACTCATGAAATACTATCTTGTTTGATTCCTTCTATAAAGACAACAATGTCATGTGTTAACCATATGACATTATAAACATAATATCTAAAAATATATTTTAATATATTCTTTAATGTAAAGAATATATTTTAATAAATACTATAAGATATTTCAGAAAGAGTACCTTTTAATAGGAAAGAAAATCTATTGAACAAAGTGTTCTCTTTGTTCCTTTAGCTTTTAAAATTTTGTTTACATATGTTTGATTAAACTGTATTTCCATTCATTAGTAATACCTATAATTGAATTGTGGGATCAAATATGAAATGCATTTGCATTTTTCTATCTCCTTTACTATTAATTCAAATTTCATTCTGAAATTATTTATTTCTTTTTATTATGTTTCTTTGTGTTTTTACAAAATTCCTTCGTAAGAGTGAGATTTGGAGCACCAGGGGAAGTTGAAAAAATTATACTTTGTTCAAACTGGAGTACTTCTTTACCTTTTTCCTAAGCAGTTAGCATTCACTCTACTACTATTCACTTATGATATTGTAGTAGCTTTTAACCAATTATTTTCAACACTATTGTAGAAAGTGATCTTGAGTGTCCTTTTCCATTATAAAATCTCTTATAAATTTTCTGTGTACTGGATTGTAAACATTATATTATTAATTTCAATATTGTCAGCCAAGCTTTATTTTCTTAAAACATTCCTTCAATCATAAAACATAAAAAATATAAATCTAGATCAAAGAATATCTTTTTAAAATGTACTTATTAATATTGTTAACTAATATTTTCAGGTTTTTCAAATGACCCTTCTTATTCACAAATACATATTTGCAAAACATGAATATATATATATGTGTGTGTGTGTGTATATCTATCTATAGATACACATATTTGTGGGGGGGTCGGTCGTGGGGCTTGAAATCTGGGTTTGGGTGCTGTCCCTGTGTTCTTCAGTTCAAGGCAGGCACTCTACTCTTTGAGCCACAGCATCACTTCCGATTTTCTAGTGGTTTATTGGAGATAAGAGTCTCATGGCCTTTCCTGCCAGGGCTGTCTTTGTACCGTGATCCTCAGATCTCAGCGACCTGGTTAGCTAAGATTACAGGCATGAGCCATCGGCTCCTGGATTAATATTTTTAGTATTATAGTATGAGAATTATGATTATTTTCATATTATAAAAACTCACTCATTGGAAGTGGTGCTGTGGCTCAAGCGGTAGAGCTCTCGCCTTGAGCTAAAGAGTTCAGGGACAGAGCCCAAGCAGAGTTCAAACCCCACGACTGACAAAAAAAAAAAAGTGAAAAAAACTCACTCATAATTACTAAAATAAAATTTACTCTTAGAATTTGATAATCTTTACCATTTTCTCAAATATGTAATTTTCAAACTAAAAAGATAACATTCAGTTATTATTCATTTTCTGGCACTAGGCAAGGTCTGAATTTATTTACAAATATACTCATAATTCTTCACAAATAAATTCTACTTAGTAGATCATGAACAGAAAATTTTATAATTACACAATTCTTTTTAGAAATTTTCAACTCATTACTTGGCAACAAAATTTGCTCAAGACTAAAACAAACTAGTCATTCTCACCAACTGTGCAGAAATAAATAATAATGATTCCAGGATTCCAAAAATACAACCAGAGGAGAGGGGACTGATATAAGAGATTCTCTTAGGAATAATATGAAAATACTATAAGAACCTCAAATAATATTATCTATTATATTAAAGAAGAAAAGTCATAGCATTTAATATTAAGAGACACAAAAATAAATTAAACTCTTCATTCATTTATAAGCAAAACACTTATCAAAGTAGAGAGGATCTTCTTACCCAGATACACAGTATGTACAGAAATCTACAGTCATTATTACTTTTAATGATGAACTTTAGCATTGTTGGCCATAGGTAGTGAACAATGACTTATAATGATGAATGGTTTCCTGTTAACAGAATAGACTGTAAGCTAAGACAGCTTCCTGTCCATGACCTTTTCCTCCTCAGTACAGTTTCAGGGATTTGGGGGAAGGTTGACAGTTCACGCCTTTTCCATTCCAGTAAGATTTAGTTGGAAAGATATGAGAACAGAACAATATGTGAGTGCTACATACTCTTAACTAGCAGAACGTTTGTATATTTTCTTGTTCCACAAAGGAAATAATAATCACTGTTTGTTTAATCCTCTTATACTTCCTTGGATAAATTTTAAACCTACAGAAGTTAAACAAAATACTGATTTAGAAACCTGTATTTTAAAACAATACAATGGAATCTAATAGATGACCAGATAGAGGCTGAAATAATCAAATATATTCATGTGATTTCTGAAAGAAGCTCTTTGGTAAGAGCTAAAGTTTAAAACTGTATGAAGGGAAAGCTTTCAGAAATACAGGCTTGGTTTGTAACGAAGCAATGAAGGAAAAAAAAGAAGGCAAATTCATTGTGCTCTGTAGTACAAAAATATTCTGTTTTAAAACAAGCTCTGGGCATTCTCATGC